CAGGCAAAAATGTCTCAATGGTACTTTTTAATCAAATGCAAACTATCGTCATGTTATGTACATTGACAAGTTCAATAGCATGAATGACTACAGGCAAACTCATAATTTCCTGCTTTTCTACTTCTACTGTCTTTATTCTTTCAGACTCCAGCAAGTTGATGAAAACCGCAAGTCTGTCACCAATGAGATAAAGAAGTCAATTTGCAACTTGATCATGGAGATCAACAGAAAGGGAAAAATCTTGGTCAATCAACTTGAGGTATGCTTGTTAAACAGGACATGAGCAATCATGTCTTTCTACCACATAATGAAATAATGTACACTTCTGCTAACATGGCTCTAATTACACTATATGTGAGCATATTGTTAAGTAGCTTTGTGCTAATCATGGTGGTTGTGTCAGACACTGACGAAGGACCATGAGGTCGGACTGAAGAAACAACAAGAAGATGTCAGCCACCTGACCAGACATCTAGATCACGTCATCAACTTCACCAAGTGGGCCACAGCCAGTCACAGTGGCACGGCTCTCCTATACTGCAAGAGACTGGTAGGAACCGTGACTTTCACTGGGGAGATGGATTTATTTTGGCCTACTTTTATACCCATGAGGGAAAATGTTGACCTAAATTGTTCAGACAGCTCTGTGTAGAAATACACATTGAAACCTGAATTTGTGATGTTCAGAAGCATTAGGCTACATCCATTTGAGTGATTCAGAAACATTTTCTTTCAGATTCTTTGCCAAATCCATTACCTAATGAGAGCCAACTGTAACGCATCCATCGTCCCTCAGAGCTCAGTCCGCTTCCAGTGTCGCTCCGGTTTCTGGGCCTCAAATGTCGATCTTGGTACGAACGCTAAAACTTCAGTTCTGACGGATACTGTAGGCGTAATCCAAAATCATCCCCATGATGTTAAATGCAGACATTGTTGAACTAATGTTTGTTAATGTTTCTGTGTATTTCCTAAGGGTCTTTGGCAGTAGAGAGAATCCCTGGCCGTCAGCCCAGTTCTATGCAGCAGGGCTTCCCTCCTGGCCACCCCAGCCAGCCTGGCCCCGGCCCCAGAGGAGAGGGCCCTCCCGGGGCCTTCCCTCCAGGCTCCTCCGCCCACCAGCGTGGGAGCACCCTGGCCCAGCTCCAGCTGCAGGTAGAGAAGCTTGCCCAGCACCCCAACAGGGCTGGACAGCCCCCTCCCAACCATTGGTCCTGGTACCAGCAGGGTCTGAAGCTCCCAGGGCCAGGGGGCCCCCCTCCACAGAGGCCCCACCAGGGCGGTTCTCCGTCACAGGGTCCCCCCAACATGGTCCAGATCCAGCAGCCGGGCCGGAGTTACGGACCCCCTGGGCCCCAAGCCCATTCCAACCCCAGAAGCCCCACCTCTATGCTGCAAAACGCAGGCTTCCCTCCTCAGGTATGTGTGATTCTTTAATTTTTTTTATAATAATCCTAATCCCTTTTTGAAGTTGTAGATTTGCTCTTTGCTGTTATCAGACAGTGTACAATAATAGATTGAGCCACTGAGAACATGCTATTTCAGTTGGGATAAAATGGAGACAAGCTGATACAAATGCACCAATTCTGATTCATATGTTCACTGAGTTGTGTTATTGTGTCTGTAGTAAATCATTTCTAGATTTTTTTGGTCATAATTATCCTACAAATTGCAAGACTTTTGTGCCATATCTAATTCTAGTCTCTGAGGGATCTCATCCACAACTCCAGCTTCCCTCCCAAACCAATGGATGTGCTACAGGGTACCTCCCGCTACTCTCATGCACCTCCTCCCAACACAGGACCCATCAGCACTCAAGCCTCTATACACCAGGTACTGAAAAAACTGAAGCTGAACCTCATTATTGAATGTATTTACATGTGTTTTTCTCTATGATTTGTATATTTACCACACACACACAAACAAACAAACAAACAAACAAGAGAAATAGAGGAACTATTTGGTTGTTGTTCTCAGCGTAACATGATGGATGCCGCACAACTGAGGAGGAGTGACCCCAGTGGATCTTCATCATCATTATCCATGCCCAACCCCAGAGCTAGTTATGCTCCGAGCCTAGCCACTGCCTTCCCAGACAGACATGGTGGGCATCTCACCCTCTCACACTCCCCTCATTTATTACATGCAAAACAAACGTGAAATATAATTAAATGAGCTATTCAATGCCCAATCATAAATTCATCTCAATAAAACCCCTTTCTCTTTCTCTCCTCAGCACAAGGAAGACAGAATTCCCCCATGTCCAAATCTTCCTCCTCTGAAGCCAACATAGGGTAGGTGAACCTCACTCCCACACCACAGGGTGCTGTCCTCTTTACACCCCACACCAAGGTCACAGTATGTACTGTGTGGTTGATGTGTTCCTGGTTGTAATATATGTACCATGTTGTTGTGTTCCTGGTTGTAATATCTGTACCGTGAGGTTGATCTGTTCCTGGTTGTAATATCTATGGTTCTGTACCGTGTGGTTGACTTGTTCCTTGTTGTAATATCTGTGTTGAAGGTCTGCTTCCTGGAAGCGCACAGAGCCTCATGCGGCGGCCCCCCCCTCCTCAGCTAAGCGGAGGAGAAGGTCGTCCCCCGGACCAATCATCGTCATCAAGGACGAACCAGAGGACGACGACGAAGTCAGCTTTGTAAGTATGACTGTATGTGCACTCTGTGTGTGTGTCTATCTCTGTGTGCCTTTTGAAAGAGATATATTCTATACAATCATATATGAAAGATGATATCAGGTTCAGATGATAGAATCTCCCTAGTCTCGCTTCCATCCTCCAGGTGCAGTCTAGTGTTGGAGCCTCAGCCAGCCTGCCAGACAGCAGTACAGGCATCCAGCCCAAGCCCCAGTCCCAGCCCCAGCAGCAGTCTCTCCCAGCACCCATGGTGGACCCCCAGCCAGAGCCAGAGCCCCAGCCTGACCCCCAGCCTGACCCCCAGCCAGAGCCCCAGCCTGACCCCCAGCCAGACCCCCAGCCTGAGCCCCAGCCAGAGACCCAGGTAGAGCTAGAGGCAGACCCCCAACCAGAGCCAGAAAAGGCCCCAGGTGTCCCTGAAGACGACCCCAATGAAGACTGGTGTGCTGTGTGTCAGAACGGGGGAGAACTGCTTTGCTGTGACAAATGTCCGAAAGTCTTCCATCTGAACTGTCATATACCTACACTTAGAGAGTCTCCCAGGTAATTAACACCTACTTTTAAATGTCTATGCACCACTCACAGCTGCACCGTCCTGCCTGCTCTGCCTGTTAAATGTAATACATCTGTCTCTGAAGGGCGATAGTTTGCAGTACCTTGTAATATAAAATGGGGGAATTATTTACCCCCAAAGTATGACGAGAGACTGCAATATTGTCAATTCACTAACCCCCCTGTGTGTCTGTTTCCAGTGGTGAGTGGTTCTGTTCGTTCTGTCGTGACCTGACCAGTCCTGAGATGGCGTATAACCCAGATAGCCAGAGAGAATCACCAGCCATGAAGGAAGAGCCAGGATCAGAGGGATTCCCTTCAGTTGATAAAAGGAAATGTGAGAGACTGTTGCTCTGTATCTACTGCAACGAGTTCAGTACAGATTTCCAGGAGCCTGCCTCACCGTCGGTAAGACTGCAACTACCAACTGCCCCATAGAACGTTTTTGCTCTATGGTTTTAATTCAATCAATACGATACGACTTTGTCTATCGAGTCAGAAAATTGTCATAACTCCCAATCCCCAGACACCACACCATTCATTTTGGTTAATTTATCACAGTTAACTAATGATGATTCCCCCATCTGATATGTCCAGTCAATCCCAGAGTATAAGGAGCTGATTGAGACTCCAATGGACCTGTCCATAGTGAAGAGCAGACTGGAGTCTAAGGAGAGCCCACGTTACTGCAGTGCTGAGGAGTTTGTCAAGGATGTCAGGCTCATATTCAGGAACTGTGCAAAGTATTACCAGGTACGGCAACACGACATGACACACAATATGACACATTTGGGTTGGATTATGGTGCTTGCTTACAACACTAGGATTCGTATATTCTTTTATTTTTTGTATTGGACCACAAAACTGAATATGCCCCGGTTTCCCAGACCCAGGTTAAGCCTATTTAGAATGGACTAAAAGTATGCTCAATATCCAGTAGAAGGCTTAATTTGGGTCTGGGAAACCAGCCCTAAATGTGTTAACAAAATTGAGACAAAGACACCTATTTCTGTTTGTTTTAATTAGAGATATACATAGCATGCAGTAATGTGCTTGTTTTCCTGTTTTATTCCCTATGACAGTGCTTTCACTTCTGCTTTGCTTGCTCTTTGAGCTCGGGTAACTGTAAAGCACTTTGTGATAACTACTGATGTAAAACGGGCTTTATAAAATACATTTGTTTGATTGACAGGCAGACACTGAGGTGGGAGGTGCAGGACTGAGCCTGGAGGAGTACTTTGAGGAGCAGCTGAAGCTCCTCTACCAAGACAGGAACTTCCCTGGGGGCAGAGAGGAGGGCATGATACCCCCTGTGGAGGACGAGATGGAAGAAGGAATGGAAGACGAAGGGATGGCTCCTAACGAAGGGGATATGCCCCCTGTCGAGGACGACCTAACACCTGTTGAAGAAGGGATGCCTTCTATGGAGAAAGAAGGGACGGAAGAGGGGATGGAGGAAGAAGGGATACCTCCTTTAGAAGAGAGCATGGAAGAGGAAGGGGAAGAGACTTCTCCAATGAAAGGAGAGACACCACCTTGTGATGCTACTGGACCAGTAGATCCATCAACAAGGGGTGCGTCATCACCCAACCCTCCCAGCGAGGAGGCTCCCCAACGCCCCTCAGATACCCCAGACAACCCTCCCTGCGAGGAGGCCCCCCAACCCCCCTCAGATACCCCAGACAACCCTGCTGACTCCCACGACACCAGCCCTGCTGACTCCCAGGACACCAGCCCTGCTGCAGGCTTAGCCACAGAAAATGAGGGGACGACTGAAGAAGTGAGAGACAAAGCAGAAGAGGAGTGATTCTTGTTCTACCTCTGTAAATTGGACGGACAATAAAGCTTTTTGAATTATCTATAGGATCTGTTGTCTGAAAATACAGGGAGACCTCTTTGCTGCATCATACTTTTTGATATGATTTGCAATAATAAATAAATAAAGCAGAGAAACCCAGGACGTATAACAGGGTACAGAGATGGACAATGAATGCACAAATGTTGTTTGTCTTGTTACAAAGCAATGTAGTTACATGTATGAACTAATAATGCACAGACTGTTCTGTCTGCTGAGATTGAGAAGTTACAATCATGCTGTAACTGATGAGCTTTCTACAATAACAATCATAACACACAAATAATGTCCATTATTGATAAGTTGTCTGCAGTTTTCCATATTGGCTTTTATAAAGATGATTGCCATATAATGTATATTTATAATAATGTAAGTGATATTATTATTTATCCAACTCTAAAGAAAAATAACTGCAAAGAAAGAACTCCATGAAAACCATAGCCCTACATCATGTCTCAAAACTCAAAGTTTTTGATTAAGGTCAATCATTTTTAACAGACATTTTTATGTATAGTTGTGTGTTTTAATTTAGATAAATTATAGGCTACTCTTGTATAGAACATTGTAAAGGAGGTATTCTGAAAGGTAGACTCAGCGATATGACATAGATGAAGAAAGTAAACAGCATAGTGGGTCAAGTTCAATGACAACTAAGAGCGTGAGGGTCAACTTCTCCGCTATTTTGGTGCCCTGGCTACCGTGAAGCGAACTGTGCACATGAGCAGATACTGTGAGAGCGAAGTCTTGCATCCGCTCATCTCGATATCTGCTATGCTGCTTGTGGCAACGTCATTTCGCTGAGTACCTTTAAGACTGTGTTCACTAGATTACAGGGATGCAAAATGTAAATATTTTTCTCAGACAATGAAAGTGCAGTGTTCTGGAATGATGCTGCTTGCTTTTTGGCATGTAAGGAGAACCAAACTGTTGCCCTCACTTTTCCTTGTTGCATGTTTTCTTGTTGCCAGGCTACCCAGACTGGGTCTGGGCAAACGCCACGCCCACGGACGTTAGTTTTTTCTCCACTATCAGTCTGGATCTGAGTACCTCCCCAACCCTTCACCCAATGCGAACACATTCGGGGCCGTCTGATTGGTCCAGAAAGCGATGGGTTGGGCCAGAGCCAGAACACACGTGGGTAACGCGTCCAGTTAGAAAATGTGTAATTGACTTTGATACTCTGATTGTGATCCAATCGATGATGACTTTGTTTTGTACAACGCCCCTCATCACCAACACAAGACTTCAATAGATGCTTTAAAGAGGTCACTGGAAAGCAGACTGTGGGGGATAGAAAAATGATGCCAGATTGGCACACATTCAACAAATCTGATCTAGCAAAGTGGATATTCGTCAAATCCGTCGTGATTGATGTATTGTAACAGGCCCGCTGGTTACTAAAGTCTGATTTTGATATATTTGGCTGTTTTCTCTGCATAACATTTAGAAGTATTTCCTTTTCAGGTTTAGAAGAAGTGACTGCTAAATGCTAACGCCTGTTGGTATAAACTGGTAGCGTACAATAAAACTTCAATTAAACGCTGAGTCTCAAATAGCCGCCTTTCCCTTTGAATAGCCGGGCAATGGCACACATTTCAGAAAATAAACGCCCCTTTCAAATAAATGCAGGGTCTAAATGAATTGTTTGAGGTTACCATGAATTGTTTACGGGGTTTAATGTTTGATTTGTTAAATTAAATAATTCAGTAATTACTCATGATGGCAATCATCCGTTTTTATTGCCAGTAACAAACTGTTCGTCATTTGCTGCTAACAGCTGAGATCTGCTAGCTAACTGGCAAGCACAAAAACAGTCAACAACTTCGGGAGTACAGACCTGCAGAAATCGGCCGATCGCTTTGTAGTGGAGAAAGTAAGAACTGACGAAAATGCACAGTCAAAGGAGAACAATGATTCTGTCAATGAAAGGTTTTATTTATTTTTTAGAGGCATAGTAAGACAAAGGTGACACAATGTGTAAATGATAACACAGTGTAGGAAATTAAGAAATTGGTTAAAATGCTAGAAGTGAATGCTGGAATTAAACAATTAAATATGCAAATGAGCAAAAGCTGTGTACATTAAGGAAATAGATGCCTGGCTCACATAGGTGCCTGTTGTGTTCAGTGATTTAAGCAAATAAACACTGGGCTATTAATTGTGGAAGCTAGCAAAGAGAAATAAGTGGTGTTAGTCAAAGTCGTTTTTAACTGTAATGCAGTTGATTGAACATGAACATGTATTGGGGTTGACATCCATACAAGCCTTATACTCAGATTTATACCTCAACATAGTGTGAAATACACATATAAACAATAGCCTAAATGTGGACTAATTTTGCTGGGGGGTACTGAGGAGATTCGGGCACTTTCCCCCATGTGTTTCCGTGGCATTTCCATTGTTTTAATCGAGTTCCATTGATCTCTTTACCACATCTATGATGGCAGCCTCAGACTAAAGTATGTAGCAAACGAGAGAGCAGCTGAAAGAATTTAGTGTGAGTCGTCAGGCTAGTTTTTTTTGTTTAACCTCCTTGAAAAGTGAATACTAGAGTAGAGATCGGGACCATTCAGCTCCTATCAAGTCACTGGTGTAAGGAGGCCAGGCTTCTTGTTTAAACAAGAGCATCATGCAACCTTGTGTACTCCAATATCTCTTATCAGTAAAGGGGTAGCACCAGAGTGTGAATTACGGGGGGCCCAGGGAGGTCTCAGACCCCCTGAGACATGAGTCCCCCTAAATGCAACAAAGTCAAACTTTGAGAGGTCTCTAAATAATGCTAATTTAAACATTCTCCTATTTGTTTAAAATGCTATTTGTACTTCTACGGTGGTATATATATATATATATATATAAAAACGTTTATTCCAAATTAAACGAATACCCCCACCTCTGTGTCATGTTTTTTTTATTTTTTTATCCTATGTGGCTGCACTTTTCAACCTAGGACAGTCCCATATCACAACCCTTTTTCAGGTGACCTAACTTTTCTTTCTACAAAAAAAGGTCATTTTGTCAGCAAAACACATAAATTAATTCAGGCTACAATAGTGTAGACCCAATTACAATCATTGAATGTCATTACACTTTTTGGTGTTTTGCAACAAGATGTCTCTTTCCATTCATCAAATGGCACAAGTGCACAGTGCACTGTTTGGATGCTGGAATTCTTTTGGAGAGGATGAACATGCTCAGGTAGCCTACGTTTTAAAGTGATTTGTTTGGCAATAAGATGAAAACCGTTTAATGACATGTCTTTAGCCTGCTATAGTAATATATACTATAGTAATATATTTGGAACATAAAAAATGTCATGCACATAAATAGAGACCCACGAATATCACGGCATAGGTAGCACCAATACATGCTGAATATGTAGTAAGAAAATGTAATCAAACTCTTGAGTACTTTATTTCAGTTGATATCAGTGTACTGATTACCCCTAGCACAAACAGAAAAGCAAGCAATGTTGATCAAAGCCTATTATATCTCTATAGCCACTCTTTTTATATCATAGATAATGTGGAATGCGTCAAATTACGCACAGTGGGTCCGGCTATCAAAATGCATTTTAATTTTAGTTTTTGAAGATCCCACATAGCTCAATGGACACCAAATCGGCTATTAAACCAACAGTGAGATAGATGGCGCCCTACACTCCCCCATACCCCAAAGCGAGAATATTCGCGCCGTCTTGCTACACAACTGCAATAATACATGAGATTCTCAGCAACTGTCTGACCTCCCTATCGCCGACTCACTCTCTCCTTTTGTCCCGTTCATGACGGGAGCGCTCTGCGGTCCAGAATAGAGAACGGTTTTCAAAGACTCAAGCAATCTTAAATATATTTTCAACAAGACGTTTTAATCAGAAAATATCTTACAAGTGCAATGGGACCATGGATATTACTATTTTTCTTTTCATATGGAGTTTTACATGGGCAAGGTAAGAGTTAAAACTGGTGAGATTGCCTGGAGTGGACTACCACTATTAACAGTGTTACTAATATTGTAATAATTGTACAATATAATTAATTAAATTAATGTTGGAATAAAATATAGGCCTGTTGTATTTTACTAAGGATTGTTCAATCAGAAATATGAATATGAAATACATTCTTTGAATCAAACATGCCAAAAAAAGTTTCTACATTACACCTTTTGAATTATGAAATGGGCCTAGATTATATATGTAGAAAAGTATGTTCAGGAATGCCTTGTATATAGCCTACATCTGCTGACTAGGCTTAGCCAAATAATTAATTGCTGTTTGGTTACCTCCCCTCTCACTCTTTTGTCAAAACCTTTCCCACCATGTTCTCACCCCACATAAACTTGGCCAGAGCACCCAGAGTACAGTTCGCCCATGTTGAAGGACTGCTGTCAGGATGGGAGGGGCCGAGCTCTGGTTGAACAAGACTGTACAGTCCTCCCTCTAATCGCAGCCTCTCACATCTGCAGGTAGGTAACAGTAACACCTGGTTTTCAGGAGGACAGTATGTACAGTGGGGAAAAAAAGTATTTAGTCAGCCACCAATTGTGCAAGTTCTCCCACTTAAAAAGATGAGAGAGGCCTGTAATTTTCATCATAGGTACACTTCAACTATGACAGACAAATTGAGACTTTTTTTCTCCAGAAAATCACATTGTAGGATTTTTTATGAATTTATTTGCAAATTATGGTGGAAAATAAGAATTTGGTCACCTACAAACAAGCAAGATTTCTGGCTCTCACAGACCTGTAACTTATTCTTTAAGAGGCTCCTCTGTCCTCCACTCGTTACCTGTATTAATGGCACCTGTTTGAACTTGTTATCAGTATAAAAGACACCTGTCCACAACCTCAAACAGTCACACTCCAAACTCCACTATGGCCAAGACCAAAGAGCTGTCAAAGGACACCAGAAACAAAATTGTAGACCTGCACCAGGCTGGGAAGACTGAATCTGCAATAGGTAAGCAGCTTGGTTTGAAGAAATCAACTGTGGGAGCAATTATTAGGAAATAGAAGACATACAAGACCACTGATAATCTCCCTCGATCTGGGGCTCCACGCAAGATCTCACCCCGTGGGGTCAAAATGATCACAAGAACGGTGAGCAAAAATTCCAGAACCACACGGGGGGACCTAGTGAATGACCTGCAGAGAGCTGGGACCAAAGTAACAAAACCTACCATCAGTAACACACTACGCCGCCAGGGACTCAAATCCTGCAGTGCCAGACGTGTCCCCCTGCTTAAGCCAGCACATGTCCAGGCCCGTCTGAAGTTTGCTAGAGTGCATTTGAATGATCCAGAAGAGGATTGGGAGAATGTCATATGGTCAGATGAAACCAAAATATAACTTTTTGGTAAAAACTCAACTCGTCGTGTTTGGAGGACAAAGAATGCTGAGTTGCATCCAAAGAACACCATACCTACTGTGAAGCATGGGGGTGGTTATCGTGCTTTGGGGCTGTTTTTCTGCAAAGGGACCAGGACGACTGATACGTGTAAAGGAAAGAATGAATGGGGCCATGTATCGTGAGATTTTGAGTGAAAACCTCCTTCCATCAGCAAGGGCATTGAAGATGAAACGTGGCTGGGTCTTTCAGCATGACAATGATCCCAAACACACCGTCCGGGCAACGAAGGAGTGGCTTCGTAAGAAGCATTTCAAGGTCCTGGAGTGGCCTAGCCAGTCTCCAGATCTCAACCCCATAGAAAATCTTTGGAGGGAGTTGAAAGTCTGTGTTGCCCAGCGACAGCCCCAAAACATCACTGCTCTAGAGGAGATCTGCATGGAGAAATGGGCCAAAATACCAGCAACAGTGTGTGAAAACCTTGTGAAGACTTACAGAAAACGTTTGACCTGTGTCATTGCCAACAAAGGGTATATAACAAAGTATTGAGAAACTTTTGTTATTGACCAAATACTTATTTTCCACCATAATTTGCAAATAAATTCATTAAAAATCCTACAATGTGATTTTCTGGATTTTTTTCTTCTCATTTTGTCTGTCATAGTTGACGTGTACCTATGATGAAAATTACAGGCCTCTCTCATCTTTTTAAGTGGGAGAACTTGCACAATTGGTGGCTGACTAAATACTTTTTTTCCCCACTGTATGTGTCTGTAACCTGTGTGACCCAGTTCACAAGAGGCCCCTGTTGGTAGGGAAATACATGAAGAAATCCAGGACAGTCCAGGAATGGTTAGATAATTAGATGTTATTGTGCTTGTGCTGTTGACTATCATTGTGGTATGTAGCCTAGTGCCAAGAAAAGAAAAATAATACTTTATCGAGCATTGTTACTGCATTCATAATGGGAGGCACAGGGGCGTAGTGGTATGCCTGTTGAGAGATGATGGTGTCATTAAAACAGGAAAGTCCTTAGTGGGGTTGAAGCCCCAACTCAACCTCAACCACTCCCCCTGCCAACCCCCATCACTCTTCCTCTATCACCTCCCACCACCACCCATTCCCCCTACAACCCCCCACAACCCTCAACCCCTCTGGGCACATATTGCCACATAGGCCCCATGTACAGGAGCTAAGTGCCCTCGGGCTGAAGGGTGCCTGTAAAAAGCTCTGTGGTTGGAGGTGAAAATTGCAGTAGGGAAGACACCTGGAGCACACATGGGATGGCATTTTTCTGACTGAAGAAAGCATCCTTTCCTCTCCTCACACCATCTGAATTGTTCTGCTCTTCACTTCTCTGTGGTCTAACAGGATAGCTCAGGAGCAGTGTTGTTCGGCTGTAGTAGGGGACACATTGTGTACCAGCGGCATCAACCTGGCCAAAGAACAGGGGGCCTGTGTGGTGCCTTTTACCCATGTGGACCCCTGTGAAACAAAGACTACCAAGGTGTGTGACTGTGTATTGGAACTCTCTCTCAATCACCTTCCTCCTCGTTTACTTACTGTAGCTCCTCTCCAACATCTACCAATACAGCTTTTTCTTCCATCCTCACTCACTTGTCTCTGACTCTACCCTCTCTTAAGGAGCGACTGAACGCACCGATTGATCATGTTTTTCTGTTGCTCATTAAGAAAAATGTGATTTCAATCTTGGGGGTGTGATTCGATGTGGCAGCTACTGATGTTTGTCCCCATGAAACACCATAGGAACAAAGCCAGTGTCAAAGCCAGTGTCTGACATAGAATGAATCTATGTCATTTTGGCCACTGGCCTGGTGCGAAGAGCAGGAACGGGCCGGGCCAGACTGGCGACGCGCACCACTGGCTTGGTGCGGGGAGCAGGCACGGGCCGTACCGGACTGGGAACACGCACCACTAGCTTGGTGCGAGGAGCAGGAACGGGCCGGGCCGGACTGGCGACGCGCACCACTGGCTTGGTGCGAGGAGCAGGAATGGGCCGGGCCGGACTGGCGATGCGCACCACTGGCTTGGTGCGAGGAGCAGGAACGGGCCGGGCCGGACTGGTGACGCGCACCACTGGCTTGGTGCGAGGAGCAGGAACGGGCCGGACTGGCGACGCGCACCACTGGCTTGGTGCGAGGAGCAGGAACGGGCCGGGCCGGACTGGCGACGTGCACCACTGGCTTGGTGCGAGGAGCAGGAACAGGCCGGGCCGGACTGGGAACACGCACCAATGGCTTGGTGCGAGGAGCAGGAACGGGCCGGGCCGGACTGGCGACACGCACCACAGGCTTGGTGCAAGGGGCAGGAACAGGCCGGGCCGGACTGGCGACGCGCACCACAGGCTTGGTGCGAGGAGCAGGATCAGGCCGGGCCGGACTGGGAACACGCACCAATGGCTTGGTGCGAGGAGCAGGAACGGGCCGGGCCGGACTGGGAACACGCACCAATGGCTTGGTGCGAGGAGCAGGAACGGGCCGGGCCGGACTGGTGACACGCACCACTGTCTTGGTGCGAGGAACAGGAACAGGCCGGGCCGGACTGGCGACGCGCACCACTGGCTTGGTGCGAGGAGCAGGAACAGGCCGGGCCGGGCCGGACTGGCGACGCGCACCACAGGCTTGGTGCAAGGGGCAGGAACAGGCCGGGCCGGACTGGCGACGCGCACCACAGGCTTGGTGCGAGGAGCAAGAACAGGCCGGGCCGGACTGGAGACACGCACCACAGGTCTGGTGCGAGGAGCAGGAACAGGCCGGGCCGGACTGGCGACGCACACCACTGGCTTGGTGCGAGGAGCAGGAACAGGCCGGGCCGGACCGGACTGGCGACGCGCACCACAGGCTTGGTGCAAGGGGCAGGAACAGGCCGGGCTGGACTGGCGACGCGCACCACAGACTTGGTGCGAGGAGCAAGAACGGGCCGGGCCGGACTGGAGACACGCACCACAGGTCTGGTGCGAGGAGCAGGAACGGGCCGGGCCGGGAACACGCACCACTGGCTTGGTGCGAGGAGCAGGACTGGGTACCTTTATTAACCCCCGCTCCTTATGCTGTCTAACCAGCTCCTCTCGCCGTGCCTCTACTTCCTCCTTCTCCCTACGTGCCTCCTGCAGTGCCTCCTCCTGAATGGCTCTCTTCCGCTCTATACTATCTAACAGCCCCCGTAATATGGTGGCCTCCTCTCTTACCCGGCACTCCTCCTCCCGTGAGGACTCCTCCGGAAGCCCCCACGAGTTAGGGAACAGAAACTCGTCGTCGTCGTCGTCCTCCGACTCCTCAGTATAATACTGTTCCCACTCCTCTTCCCATGGTCGTAGGGACCCAATCTGGAAACCAACCAGGTGCAGTGGTCGGGGCTCTTCTCTCTCGCTCCCCGACCACCCCTTTAGCCCCCCCAAAATGTTTTATTGGGGCTGCTTCTCGGGCTTCCTCCTCGGCCGGCTTCCGTGTTGCCGTTGCTCCTCTCCTGCCTGGGCTTCCTTCGTCGCCCAGGGTCCTTCTCCTGCAAATATCTCCTCCCATGACCAAATCTTCCCCACATGTGTCCAGGGTGTACGGTCCTCCTGGGCACGCTGCTTGGTCCGTGTTTGGTGGGATCTTCTGTCACGTTCGTTCAAGGATGGGTCAGACCAAGGCGCAGCGTGATATGCGTACATGTTTATTTAACTTATAAACATTTACATTTACATTTATATTTACATTACATGACAAAACAACAAACGAAACGAAACGTAAAGTCCAAAGGTTGAACAAACAACAAACCTTACACGGAACAAGATCCCACCACTAAACAGTGCCAATCGGCTGCCTAAGTATGATCCCCAATCAGAGACAACGAGCGACAGCTGCCTCTGATTGGGAACCACACCGGCCAACATAGATCTATACATACTAGATACCCCACATAGAATATACACAACAAAGAATATACACACCCTGACTCAACATATACGAGTCCCCTGAGTCAGGGCGTGACAGGCATTGTCGAAATCCAACCCCAACCCTTAAGTAAGTCCTGACAATCTCTTGTACTCAAATCTCACAAAACGCAGTTTTGGAAGATACTGACTTTATGACCAAAATTAACCTACTTGCACTTTTGAGTCAATTTTGGCACTGGAATAAATGTTTCTGACTGATATCGATGTCATGTGCCGTTTTCACTGTTTCATCTCCCCCTCTCAGATGTGTTGTGACTGCTGTCTGCTGGGCCTGATGTCTGCTAGCAGTGGTAATGGCTGTGAGCTGGCCCTAGACCTGGGAAAGCAGTGTCAGGAGACAGCCCAGGCCTGCTGTAGTTGGGTACGACCAGAGCACAACAAGCCTGCTGCTGGGGCTCAAGGTAACCTAGTGCTACAGCAGTGCTTACCAAATGGTGCTCCAGAACCCCATGTGGCACAGTCCTAAATGGTAGGCCAGAATGACCCATGTGGCTGTGTCCAAATGTTGTCCCAGACAAAAAAACTGTTTATGAACCATTAGTCTGACAGACTGTTACCTGCCAGCGCAAACAATATGTGGTTCTGTGTCCGAGATTAGGGAAGCACTGACCCGGACATTGTAGAGTAAACCAAGTCAATCAATCAACCAAGCAAAGCTCCCATATAAGGTTATTGTTGATTGATAAGATTGAAATAGAGTAACACGTAACAGAGTTTTGTGACGAAAGGATCGCCTCCCAGTAAACCCCTTGTGAAGTTCAATGAGAGAAGATCGGTAATAGAGGCGGCATTTGTTGGATTGAACGTCCCACGGGAAATCGAGTTGTGTACGTTGTTCGCATGAGGTTTCTTGATTGGTGAAGCGTGTAGAGTTGATTCATAGTTCGGGGAATGGGAAATGGCGGCGAGTAGTGCGGACGAAATGGAGGAAATGGAGAAAACGTTGGTGAAGCAACAGCTGTGCTGGAATGCGAACAATATGGGTGTCAGTTCTGATGGTATGGAGCGGGAGGATGAGGGTCAAGGACCGGAATGGTCGGTAGTGGAAAGTCATAGGAAGAAGAGAGATCATGATACAGAAAGCAGTGGAGCGTCTAGTAAAGAAAGCGTAAAGAGGGCCAAGGTAGGAAGCAAGAGGAATGTGTTGGAGTGGAAAGTGGTGATAGTGTTTGATGAGACACCAGGGCCTCAATTATACCCTATCCGACTAACTAATACCGTAGAGAAAGAGGTAGGTGAAGTGAAATTAGCTCGGTTCATTGGAAATGGTAGATTGTTAATATTGTGTGGTAGCCAGGCTCAGCAAGAGAAGATTTTGAAAATGGAAAAGCTTAATGGGAAGAAGATTAAAAGCCATGTCCCTGGTGCGTATGCTAGATTGAAGTTGGAGTCATTGGAGTCATCACTGGGGTCCCAATATCTATATCAACAGATGATATTAAAGAAAATGTGAAGGGAGGCAGAGTGATTGAGGCCAAAAGGGAAAGAGGGTCAAAGAAGTGAAAGCTTATCAGTGATGCTGAGGTTTGAGAAAGTCTTGCTGGGAAGACTACAGGTAGGATTCCTTAGTTTCAATGTTTGAGAATTTGTCCCATATGCACTGCAATGTTTTAAATGCCAAAGAATGGGACATGCAGCTGCTCAGTGTAAAGGAAATAAAAGATGTGCCAAGTGTGGAGGGGCACATGATTACAGTGAATGTGGAAGCAATGTGAAGGTTAAGTACTGTAATTGCGGGGAAGAACACAGTGCAGCATTTAGTGGATGTCAGGTTCAGAGAGAGGCTAGAGAGGCTCAGAGATATAGGATCAGTCATGATGTATCGTATGTAGAGGCCGTAAAACAGATTGGTAGAACTACAGTAAGTGGACCTACTTAAGTGGACCTAATGTCGGGGCTGGTGCTTCTGATGGTCCTGGCATGGTTTCGAGGCCTGTTCAGAAATCTTGTGCTCATGAATGTGCGGTGTCAAAGGACACTTTGATAATGAATAAAGTTGACTTCATAGCTTTTATTGGTAAGGTTATCAATACGACTTGGGTTGTGGAAAGCAGAAATGCCAGGTTGAAGGTTATTGTGGAGACGGCAAAATAGATATTGGGGGTAACAGATGTTACTGTTGAAATGGTTGTTGACATGCTGAACAATCCTAAGGGTGGAGTGTTTCAGCATGATATAGATCAAGTTTAATGGGGTTGGGGAGGGGGTTTTGGGGGAGAGGGGAGGGTGTGATAGAAGTTAGGGATTTATTTGGTTTTGAATTGTATTTTCATGTTAGTACAGAATTGGGCAGATCATGATTGATCGTACATTCCAGCACAGTAGGTGGCGGCATGCACTTAAACGATTGTTTGCGGACCACCATGATATCATAGAAGAAGAAGAATAAGAGTTCAGTCTGTCTTATTGTGCCACCATGTACTAAGGCTAGCTGTAACAGTGTGATTTCTTTTGAATCTTGAAAGTGAAAAAAATTGTTTTCTTCCACAGCCCAGACTGAAGTGAACCCTTCACCTAGTGTTCCACTGAAGTCACCGGCTAAGGGCCCATGCAAAGGTCAGGCACCTCTGATTCAGTTATTTATGTATATTTGTGCCTGTTTATTTTCTGTTACAGTTCTGCCAAGCATACAATACGATATACTCTATTGACTATTTGCATGGACAATTTAATGCATTTCTTTACAATGAAAACACTTAAAAATGCTATGTGGAGAACAGAAAAAACAAGCAAAAATTAACTCAGTCATTATCACCTTGGCTGCTATAGGTTCATTCACCTCAGTCGATCTACAAATATCTAGCCTATTAACTATACAATTGTAATGTTATACCCTGGAAAGGGGAGAAATATGAGAAAGGATTCACACTGACACGTAGCATCAGCGACTGTTCAGTCAGTTGTAATGATGAATTGCATAAAATCATCATCGCTTTACATAGATATCTCTTTTCTCAAATTACATAGCGTTCACGCTTGTATTCCTAGGCATTACTAATCAAGCTCCGCACAAACACACATAAATGGAGCACACACATGATCGTATTATCACATTCACATGAATTATTTGAATATTACTTACGATTCTGTATTAATATCAGTGATGGAAAAAAATAAACTCCAGTGGGCGATCGACATAAGACGAACAACAAATGTATTGTTTGCATTTTGTTGCACCCCATGTGGGGTCCCGTAGAAAATCTGTACTAATCCCCACATGGGGCCCCGTTGCCCGACCCCAAGTTTGGAACTACTTTACTAACCTCTCTATCTGCTTGCGTCCTCTCTTTCTCCGTCTCCTCTGTTTCCTCCTGCATGCATTGCAGCCTGCCTTAGCCTCACCTCTGAGCGCCACATCAGTGTCTGTCTCAGTAGCCTACTCTCTGTAAAGCAAAGTTATTATGAGAACTTTGTAGCTTATTTTTTGTTCCTGCTGAGGCAGGCTTTGTTTAACTTTAGCTTCTTAGTTCATCCTTCTTGCTGACTAAGTAATACTAGCCTGAGCCCTTCAATGTTACTGCAATAGACGACAATAGCTACCTGTCTGACATATCTATAAGCGACTATTTACCAGTTGTGTACTCCTTCTCCGAGAGTCGGTTTTTATTTGTTTGGGGGATGTCTGTAGACATGGCAATATTGCCTTTTGTCCAGCATCTCGTAAACACACTGTCAGCAGCGTCTCTATTGCCTACTTGAGCCGACTCTGAGCTGGGGTAGTTTGTTTCACGTCTCAGGCCCTCGGCCTGTGCCGCGAGAGGGCGGAGTTAGCCGTTCAAGAGAGTGGTGAATGTGCCCCTTGCACTCCCCTTGGATTGCAGCCCACAGAGCTTGGACCCCAGGATCATATCCTCACCTCCTGAGGATGCCCTTGTTAGAGACTGACAGCTCCCCGTACCAGGCTAGGAAATTGAAAGTCAGCACATTCTCTATATGGCAGGTGTAGTAGTTGGAGAGTATCCGGGTGTTGATATTCAGTTATCTCTCTGTAGCTCAATTGGTAGAGCATGGCGCTTGAACAGGCCAGGGTAGTGGGTTCGATCCCCGGGACCACCCATACGTAAAAATGTATGCACACATGACTGTAAGTCGTTTTGATTAAAAGCGTCTGCTAAATGGCATATTATTATTATTATTATCTCAGTCAGGGCAGGAGGGTATTTTCAGGACTGGAGAGTAGAGTTGGTAGTGTAGTAATGTGTGATAACTGATGACATAACAACTGAACTAACATGTACGTGTGTGTGTGTGTGGTTGTGTGTGTGTTTAGTAGGATCCACCTAGTGTTCACATCTGTGTGTGGGCAAAGGCACATGTGCTTGCTTCGATGGCTACAAACTCAAACCAGACCAACACAAATGTGAGGGTGAGTATGTAGACCTATGCAAAAAAGGTACATCCCTAAACATATAGAACAGGTGACTCATCATAGGCTAGAATACACTCAAGCAATCAGACATGCACATTAGTGGTTTGTTCACCCACACCCGCCCGCAATTGCTAATAACCCTTCCTCAACTGCCCAACTGAATGTGATAAAGTGAAAATCTGAGGCCAGGGGTGCAATATTTTTTTTGTTAACTGATTTAGATATTTTTATGCGTACAATTTCCAATATTTTGGTAGGCTATTTGTTAGTCAACTTGTCTATAATTAGATACATGCAGCTTCTCTTCTGCCATTATATGTTGCCCTAGAAGACTATATAAACCGTTGCTCACCAGAATAATGTAATAAATCGATAGAATGAACGCTTCAATGTAATTGACATTGGTAAAGTTTCTCTGTCATCTCGGTTTCTTTCGTGGAGCAAAGACATTTAGGGACCGGGGAGAAAATGCAATAACAAAAATTGTCTGTAAAAACTTTCCAGAAATCAGTTTGACCGGTTGTAAGGAAATAGAAAGCTGTGAAAACTACTAAACATGTTTCTGATAAGATTTCAGTTCGGCTTAGATGTATATTTTATGTGGTTGAAATACTATCAGCTTTTATGATGCTGATAAAGATAGCACTTCTACAGAAGGTATGTAACTGCACATTCACATTCTCTCAAGATGCTGAAATAAATCAATCATATTTCTCCACTCAAAAGTTTGCCTACATTTGGTGTACACTATTTATACAAAAGTATGTGGACACCCCTTCAAATTAGTGGATTTGTCTATTTCAGCCACACCCGTTGCTGACAGGTGTATAAAATCGAGCACACAGCCATGCAATCTCCATAGACAAACATTGGCAGTAGAATGGCCTTACTGAAGAGCTCAGCGACTTTTAACGTGGCACCGTCATAGGATGCCTCCTTTCCAACAAGTCAGTTTGAGCTGCCCCGGTCAAATGTAAGTGCTGTTATTGTGAAGTGGAAATGTCTAAGAGCAACAGCGGCTCAGCCGCAAAGTGGTAGGCCACACAAGCTCACAGAACGGGACCGCCGAGTGCTCAAGCGCATAGCGTGTAAAAATCATCTGTCCTCGGTTGCAACACTCACTACCGAGTTCCAAACTGCCACTGGAAGAAACGTCAGCACAAGAACTGTTAGTCGGGAGCTTCATGAAATGGATTTCCATGGCCGAGCAGCCGCACACAAGCCTAAAATCACCATGCGCAATGCCAAGCGTTAGGCTGGAGTGGTGTAAAGATCGCCGCCATTGGACTCTGGAGCAGTGGAAACACGTTCTCTGGAGTGATGAATCATGCTTCTCCATCTGGCAGTCCAATGGACGAATCTGGGTTTGGCGGATGACAGGAGAATGCTACCTGCCCCAATGCATAGTGCCAACTGTAAAGTTTGCTGGAGGAAGAATAATGGTCTGGGGCTGTTTTTCATGGTTCGGGCTAGGTCCCTTAGTTCCAGTGAAGGGAAGTCTTAACGCTACAGCATACAATGACATTCTAGCCGAATCTGTGCTTCCAACTTTGTGGCAACATGGGGAAGGCCTTTTCCTGTTTCAGCATGACAATGCCCCCGTGCACAAAGCGAGGTCCATACAGAAATGGTTTGTCGAGATCGGTGTGGAAGAACTTGACTGGCCTGCATAGAGCCCTGACTTCAACCCCATCGAACACCTTTGGGATGAATTGGAAGGCCAACTGCGAGCCAGGCCTAATCGCTGAATGGAAGCAAGTCCCCGCAGCAATGTTCCAACATCTAGTGGAAAGCTTTACCAGAAGAGTGGAGGCTGTTAAAGCAGCAAAGGGGTGACCAACTCCATATTACTGGCCATGATTGTGGAATGAGATGTTCGACAAGCAGGTGTCCACATACTTTTGGTCATGTAGTGTATACTTTTTCTGCAAGAAATGCTTAATTCTGCAGGAGATAATATTAAGGCTATGTGAGAGGTTATAGACCTACAGTCAGTTTCCAGATTTCAGTTTCCATTTAACACCACAGGCGTATTTGAAGTCCCCGTCTTGTGACTGTGGAATTTGTATAGCGCCTCACAATCATCACATAACATAGGCACTGCTATCATCCTCTTTTACCACTTCCACCAAATCTTTCCAAAACATTACTTTTCTGGCCCTCCCTTCTCTATATTTTCAACTCTTCATTTCGCAGCTTGTCTCTTAATGAATTAAACTCAGAAGTTGTCCTTTTGGCCTCTGTGGATTGACATTAACATTTTCTGCATGTTCCCAAAAGCATTTGATTATTGGCGTGTAGGCTATTTAGCGAGCACACAGTTATAGGCCCTAAATATTAGGCTTGCGCAGTAATGCCAGATTGCCTAAAATAATGAAAGAAAAACCTCAATGTAGCCTATAGATATAAATTGCACAAGAATTATACATTTATGGATTTTTTAAGGGATTGCTTTCTCTTTATTCAACCCGCCCGCCACCCACCCACACGCCCTTCATCCACACAATATTTCATGACCCTAAACCCACCCGCCCCGCAGATATAACCACGGGGACTGTTGACAACCCACACATCACTAATGTACCAGGACAACATGATATAATAGGAAAACGTCATCCTGTCACGTTTTTGCAAAATGTTATGCCTCAACCAATTGATACTTATGCCAATAAATCGCAGTCAATGGGAAAAGATGAGTGTCAACCAATTGACGCTTATGTTAATACATTGCATTCAATGTAAATGATGAGTGTCACAAGGTTGATGCTTATGTCAGTACATTACAGTCAATGGGAAAAGATAGGTGTCAACCAATTGAAGCCTATGTCAATACATTGCATTCAATGGCAAAATATGAGTGTCAAAGGGTTTATGCTAATGTCAATGCATGGCTGTCAAAACATCGCAGTCAGTGGGGAAAATATGAATGTCAACCGATTGAAGCTTATGCCAATATATTCCAGTCAATGGAAAATATGAAAAGATGAGACTCACAGACAGACAGACATCTCTCCCTCCCTCCTCTCTCCTTCTCTTTGCCCCCCTCTGTCTCTGTCTCTTTCTCTCATCCTCATCTTTCTCCCCCTTTTTTCTTCTCTCTCCCTCTCCCCTCTCTTCTATTTCTCTCTCTCCCCCTCCCTCCTTCACCCTCTCCCTCTCTCTCTCCCACGTCTGCCTGTCTATTGACTCTCCCTCCCTCCCTCCCTCCCTCCCTCCCTCCCTCCCTCCCTCCCTCCCTCCCTCCCTCCCTCCCTCCATCCTTCACCTTCTCCCTTTCTCCCTTTCTCTCTCCCCCTTCCTCACTCTCCCCCTTCTCTCTCTCCCTCTTCTCTCACTCCCTCCTCCCGGACAGGGAGGCAGAAAGACAGACAGGCAGACAGACAGACGCAGGCAGGCAGGCAAACAGACAGGTAGGTAGACAGACAAGACACACAGACAGAAACACAGGCAGACAGACAAACACAGACAGGCAGACAGACAGACCGGCAGACAGACATGCAGACTCTCTCTCCCCTCCCTCCTCTCTCTCCCCCCTCCCTCTTTCACCCACTCCCTTTCTCTCCCCCTCCCTCACTCTCCCCCTTCTCTCGCCCTCATTCTTTCTCTCCCTCCCCTCTTCTCATCTCTCTCTCCCTCTCCCTCCTCTCTCTCCCATCTCCACAGACAGGATATTGACTCAGAAATATGTGTCAAGGACATTGACGCACAAGTCAATACATTGCATTCAAGGCAAAGACATTTGTGATACAGCTGCAGTGGGTAAATTGGTGAAAAACTCAGACAGGCAAACAGACATGCAGACAGACAGACCGGCAGACAGACAGGCAGATGCAGACAGACAGACACAGGTAGGCAGAAAGACACACAGACACACAGACAGACAGGCAAAAAGACAGACACATAAAGTCAACCTAAAAACATTTGACCAATATCCTCTTCAGAATTCATTCTAACAAGGCTCTTAGCTTCTAGAACTGCAAGATTATTGTGTCCAATGGAGGTCAAAAAATGCTTTGGGTCGATTGACTTCAAATTTCATATGTCGGGTCATGATGGTCCCTGGTCACAAATCTGTAAAATTTGGAAGGATTCAAACTTTTTAACCTTTAGAAACCACCCCTATGACTCCCAATTAAGTCACTTCCTGTAATCGCAGGAAGCTGTACTTCAATGTACTGCCTCTTGGGGACACTCTTTAACAATGCCCAAGTCTTTACGTAAACAATTGACCATTCTACAGAGGATGGAAGACAGTGTTTTTGTGTAACTGCACGGAAAGAATGAAGCACCATGTTGAGGATTAATTAAGCCATTTCCTGTTGCCAGAGTAAGCTGAACCTCAACACAGGGGCATCCCTGTAAGGTCACACTAACTGTAAGTCGCTCTGGATAACAGCGTCTGCTAAATTACTAAAATGTAAAATGTAAAATGTCACGACTAGTGTGTCATGGTTATGTGAGGGCTGTAGGTAATGCTTTTCTATTGAAGAAATGCCTTGTTCACAGTGGGACCAACTTTTCACAGTGAAGAGTTAATTTCACATGGTGAGATGTAGGCTTGTGTTCATCGGAAGTGTCTGTTGAGCAATCCCATACCTGTATTTTGTTTATAGCCTCAACTGTTCTGCAGATGTCACTCAAAAGCACAGTAACTCTATGTCATGCTTCAAATTAGGCAATGTTTAGTTTAGTTTATTAGGATCCCCATTAGCTACTGCACATGCAGCAGCTACTCTTCCTGGGGTCCACATGAAACGTAAAAATACATGACAACGCACAGAACAGGTATAGACAAGGACATTACATAAATAAAATAACATAAACATGTAATAATAAAATAAGAGTTATACACTGAGTATACAAAACGTTAAGAACACCTGCTTTTTCCATGACATAGATTGACCAGGTGAATCCAGGTGAAAGCTACGATCCCTTATTGATTTAATTTGTTAAATCCACTTCAATAGTGTAGATGAAGGGGAGGAGACAGGTTAAAGAAGGAAGCCTTGAGACAATTGAGACATGGATTTTGTATGTGTGCCATTCAGAGGGTGAATGGGCAAGACAAAAGATTGAAGTGCCTTTGAACAGGGTATGGTAGTACGTGCCAGGCGCACTGGTTTATGTCAAGAACTGCAGCGCTGCTGGGTTTTTCACACTCAACAGTTTCCCGTGTGTATCAAGAATCAAGAAAACCACCCAAAGGACATCCAGCCATCTTGACACAACTTTGGGAAGCATTGGAGTCAACATGGGCCAGCATCCCTGTGGAACACTTTCGACACTTTGAAAAGTCCATGTCCCGACGAATTGAGGCTGTTCTGAGGGCAAAAGGGTGGGGGGTGAAACTCAATATTAGGAAGGTGTTCCTAATGTTTGGTATACATTATATTGGAAAGACACCAAGAGACAAAAAAATACTATCTACACACTATTCATATATACATATTCATATTCTTACTGTATATACAGTTGAATTAGATCTTTAGAAGGAGGAGAGGCGCTGTGATACAATATGTTTTTTAAATCTGTTTTTTAAAGCTAAACTTGCGTTTTGCCTGAGTAACCTCTGGTGACAGAGCATTCCACGATGACATGGCTCTATACATAACTGAGCGAAGCATTAAATCTGTTTTTGGTTTGGGTACAGTGAAGAAGCCCATAGTGGCATGTCTGGTGGGGTATGCACAGTGCATTCAGAAAGTATTCAGACCCCTTAAACTTTTCCACATTTTGTTACGTTACAGCCGTATTCTAAAATTGTTTTTTCCCTCATAAATCTACACACCATACCCCATAATGACAAGGCAAAAACAGGTTTTTAGAAATGTTAGCAAATAATTAAAATAAAATCACATTTACATAAGTATTCAAACCATTTACTCAGTACTTTGTTGAGGCGCCTTTGGCAGCGATTACAGCCTTGAGTCTTCTTGGGTATGATGCTACAAGCTTGGCACACCTGTATTTTGGGAGTTTCTCTCATTCTTCTCTGCAGATCCTCTCAAACTCTGTCAGTTTGGATGGGTAGCGTCGCTGCACAGCTATTTTCAGGTCTCTCCAGAGATGTTAGATCGGGTTGAAGTCCGGGCTCTGGCTGGGCAACTCAAGGACATTCAGAGACTTGTCCCGAAGCCACTCATGGATTGTCTTGGCTGTGTACTTAGGGTTGCTGTCCTGTTGGAAGGTGAACCTTCGCCCCAGTCTGAGGTCCTGAGCACTCTGGAGCAGGTTTTCATCAAGGATCTCTCTGTACTTTGCTCCATTAATCTTTCCCTCGATCCTGACTAGTCTCCCAGGCTCTGCCGCTGAAAAACATCCCCATAGCATGATGCTGCCACCACCATGCTTCACCATAGGGATGGTGCCAGGTTTCCTCCAGACCTGACGCTTGGTATTAAGACCAAAGAGTTCAATCTTAGTAACATCAGACCAGAGAATCTTGTTTCTTGGCAAACTCCAAGCGGGATGTCGTGCCTTTTACTGAGGAGTGGATTCAGTCTGGCCACTCTACCATATAGGCCTGATTTGGTGGAGTGCTGCAGAGATGGTTGTCCTTCTGGAAGGTTCTCCCATCTCCATAGAGGAACTCTGGAGCTCTGTCCGAGTGACCATCGGGTTCTTGGTCACCTCCCTGACCAAGGCCCTTCTCCCCCGATTGCTCAGTTTGGCCGGGCGGCCAGCTGTAGGAAGTGTCTTGGTGGTTCCAAACGTCTTCCATTTAAGAATGATGGAGGCCACTGTGTTCTTGGGGACCTTCAATACTGCAGAAATGTTTTGGTACCCATCCCCAGATCTGTGCCTCGACACAATCCTGTTTCAGAGCTCTACGGACAATTCCTTGACCTCATGGCTTGGTTTTTGCTCTGACATGCACTGTCAACTGTGGGATATTATATAGACAGGTGTGTGCCTTTCCAAATCATGTCCAATCAATTGAATTTACCACAGGTGGACTCCAATAAGCGTCAATAGATTGGTACTTATATTTTCCCATTGACTGTGATGTATTGACGTAAGCGTCAACCTTGTGACACTCATCTTTTACCATTGAATGCAATGCATTGACATAAGCATCAATTGGTTGACGTTTCTCTTTTCATCTTTTCTCATTCACTGGAATATATTGACATAAGCTTCAACCCTGTGACACTCATCTTTTCCCATTGATAATGGGCTGACTAGGAATAGTAACTACTCTCACTCTCCCCAGACATTAATGAGTGTTTGAAAGACACTCACAACTGTGTCACCGGGCAGAGTTGCATCAACACAGAAGGCTCTTTTCGTTGTCAGCGTGACACCAACTGTGGTAAAGGTTATGAACTCACTGACACCAACACCTGCCAAATCGAGTGTTTTGCACTGCCTGGGATGTATGGATGATGGCCTCTCACTCATCAGTCAATGGTGCATCCCTCTCACTATTTATCTTTACCCATCAATCACCCTGTTAAGTTTGGCTGTCTTCAAGATAATTCATGCTCTGTCCTCTTTCTCCACCAGATATTGATGAGTGTGCATTTGGATCCCACAACTGTGGCCTGGACTTTGCGTGTAGGAATACGGCAGGGTCGTTCCGCTGTCACCCACGGGAGCAGTGTGGAGATGGATATATCCAGGACGCAGTGGGAAGCTGTATCGGTGAGACACTTCCACTACCAATACAATCACACACAATGTATGAGAGTGGGTGACTGAATCAGCATGAGAGTGTGTTGTTATCTACCCCACTACTGATAATCACACACCATTGATACATATGTGTCTCTCTCCTGTCTGCCAGATATCAATGAGTGTGTGACCCAGTCCAGCCCGTGCCAGCCAGGTCAGACCTGTATTAACACAGTGGGGTCGTACACCTGTAGAAGATACTCTGTCAACTGTGGACGAGGATATCACCTCAGTGAGGATGGTAGTCGCTGTGTGGGTAAGGTCCATTGTTTATTAATGTATTATCGGGAAAATGGCTGGGTATTACACATTGGTGGTGGATTGGGTGAGATCCCTCATACAATGTCAAGCTTTTTGAAATCCAATGACAGTTGCTATATACTGTAACTGCAAACCATTACATTTTATATTTTAGTCATTTAGCAGACGCTCTTATCCAGAGCGACTTACAGGAGCAATTAGGGTTAAGTGCCTTGCTCAAGGGCACATTTACGTCATTTAGCAGACGCTCTTATCCAGAACGACTCACAAATTGGTGCATTCACCCTATAGCCAGTGGGAAAACCACTTTACAATATTTTTTTTTGGGGGGGGGGGGGGGGGGGGGGGGGGGGGGGGGGGTAGAAGGATTACTTTATCCTATCCCAGGTAATCCTTAAAGAGGTGGGGTTTCAAATGTCTCCGGAACGTGGTGAGTGACTCCGCTGTCCTGGCGTCGTGAGGGAGCTTGTTCCACCATTGGGGTGCCAGAGCAGCGAACAGTTTTGACTGGGCTGAGCGGGAACTATGCTTCCGCAGAGGAAGGGGAGCCAGCAGGCCAGAGGTGGATGAACGCAATGCCCTCGTTTGGGTGTAGGGACTGATCAGAGCCCGAAGGTACAGAGGTGCCGTTCCCCTCACTGCTCCATAGGCAAGCACCATGGTCTTGTAACGGATGCGAGCTTCAACTGGAAGCCAGTGGAGTGTGCAGAGGAGGGGGGTGACGTGAGAGAACTTGGGAAGGTTGAACACCAGACGGGCTGCGGCATTCTGGATGAGTTGTAGGGGTTTAATGGCACAGGTAGGGAGGCCAGCCAACAGCGAGTTGCAGTAGTCCAGACGGGAGATGACAAGTGCCTGGATTAGGACCTGTGCCGCTTCCTGTGTAAGGCAGGGTCGTACTCTCCGAATGTTGTAGAGCATGAACCTGCAGGAGCGGGTCACCGCCTTGATGTTAGCGGAGAACGACAGGGTGTTGTCCAGGGTCACGCCAAGGCTCTTCGCACTCTGGGAGGAGGGCACAACGGAGTTGTCAACCGTGATGGCGAGATCATGGAACGGGCAGTCCTTCCCCGGGAGGAAGAGCAGCTCCGTCTTGCCAGGGTTCAGCTTGAGGTGGTGATCCGTCATCCATACTGATATGTCTGCCAGACATGCAGAGATGCGATTCGCCACCTGGTTATCAGAAGGGGGAAAGGAGAAGATTAGTTGTGTATCGTCAGCGTAGCAATGATAGGAGAGGCCATGTGAGGATATGACAGAGCCAAGTGACTTGGTGTATAGGGAGAAAAGGAGAGGGCCTAGAACTGAGCCCTGGGGGACACCAGTGGTGAGAGCACGTGGTGCGGAGACAGCTTCTCGCCACGCCACTTGGTAGGAGCGACCGGTCAGGTAGGACGCCATCCAGGAGTGAGCCGCGCCGGAGATGCCCAGCTCGGAGAGGGTGGAGAGGAGGATCTGATGGTTCACAGTATCAAAGGCAGCAGACAGGTCTAGAAGGACAAGAGCAGAGGAGAGAGAGTTAGCTTTAGCAGTGCGGAGAGCCTCCGTGACACAGAGAAGAGCAGTCTCAGTTGAATGACCAGTCCTGAAACCTGACTGGTTTGGATCAAGAAGGTCATTCTGAGAGAGATAGCAAGAGAGTTGGCTAAAGACGGCACGCTCAATAGTTTTGGAAAGAAAAGAAAGAAGGGATACTGGTCTGTAGTTGTTGACATCAGTGGGATTGAGTGTTGGTTTTTTGAGAAGGGGAGCGACTCTCGCTCTCTTGAAGACGGAAGGGACATGGCCAGCGGTCAAGGATGAGTTGATCAGCGAGGTGAGGTAGGGGAGAAGGTCACCGGAGATGGTCTGGAGAAGAGAGGAGGGGATGGGGTCAAGCGGGCAGGTTGTTGGGCGGCCTGCAGTCACAAGTCGCAGGATTTTATCTGTTATTGTATAAATGTGTTTAGTCTCGCATGTTTATCAAATTAATCTTCTTGTTTACTCTCTCAACAGTCAATGTAGCTCAGTTGGTAGAGCATGGTGTTTGCAACGCCAGGGTTGTGGGTTCAATTCCCATGGGGGGCCAGTATGAAAAAATATAAATAAATAATGTATGCACTCACTAACTGTAAGTCGCTCTGGATAAGAGCGTCTGCTAAATTACAAATATGTAAAATGTTAACTCTCTTGCCCTCTAGATGTGGATGAGTGTCTGGTAGAAGGGGCATGTCAGGGCCATGGTTGTGTCAACCTGCTGGGTTCCTTCCTCTGCGAGTGCAGACCGGGCTTAATCTTCAACAGCATCATCAGACTCTGCGAAGGTACATCCCTCCCCTCTGAAGCAACACTGAAGGGGTCTCAAAATATGTGTCAAATAAGACTAAAACTGTCATCCCTCCTCTCTGAATCAGCTGTTTCTTGCAGGCAGATTCAGTATTGTGAACTCAACTGAAGCCTCTTTTCACACATCTGTTTTGTTATTATGTGTTAGACATTAACGAGTGCAGGCAGTACTCAGGACGCCTCTGTGCCCACAAGTGTGAGAACACCCTGGGGTCCTACCAGTGTTCCTGTACCACAGGCTTCAAACTGGCCAGCGACGGCAGGAACTGTGAAGGTAAGAAGCTATGACTCCACCAAAGAAGTTCATTCTCTCTGAATCCATCTTTCAGTCTGCTTGGGGGTGCTCGGGTCAAAGGAATTGAAGTACTGTATGTGTGCTACTCCAACACTGCGGTGTGCTATTAGTGCTGGGAGAGAAAAGCTGGAGTATTTTTCACTTTTGTTCTATTCAGCCCTTTTCAGGAATTACAGCAATTCACACTGATACAAATGACGTTTTATAAAGTGTCAAACTCAGTTGACCTGTGACCTTTGACCTGTTCTAGATGTGAATGAGTGTGAGATGAACCCCTGCAGTCAGGAGTGTGGTAATGTTTATGGCTCCTACCAGTGCTACTGTCGCCGTGGCTACCAGCTCAGTGACATCGATGGGATCACTTGTGAAGGTAGGTAAATTAATGTGAAGGTAGGAGCAAATATTGGCAGTATTGGAAGAATTTACTAAGATACCAGTCTATAGGATGTAAGTATTTAAAGTAACTGGATTTTTAGGACTGCATGCTTTTAGGACAGCAAGCCTGGTATTAGGCTGAGATGGAGGGAATGTCATACCTTCCAACCTGCATTCAGTTGCCTTCATATTCGAGGCAGCTACACTTTTTCAGTTGTTTGGGTACAATCTCCTCTCTCTCTCTCATCATTATCAGATACTGATGAGTGTGCCCTGCCAACTGGGGGTCACGTGTGTTCCTACCATTGTTCCAACACCCCAGGCAGCTTCCGCTGTACCTGCCCTCCCATGGGCTACACCCTCGCCCCGAACGGACGCACCTGCCAAGGTCAGGGAAAACATTTCACCATCCCTCCATTCCTCCTCTCCTCCATACCTCCCTTGTCCCTCATTCTCCCTCACTCTTAGAAAAAAAGGGTTATTCGGCTGTCTCCATAGGAGAACCCTTTTTGGTTCCATGTAGAACAATCTGTGGAAAGAGTTCTAACTGGAACCAAAAAGGGTTATTCCAAGGGTTCTCCTATGGAGACAGACAAATCATGCTTTTAGGTTGTAGATAAACACATTCTTAGAAAACAATGTGCTATCTAAACATTATTGTTTAGATAAACACATCGGAAATAATGTATTTTGTGTTTTTGTGAGTGTGTCCATTATGTATGTGCAAATGTGTTTAGATGTCATTTAATACAGATGCGCTTAGATGTGCATGACTGTGTATGTGCAATATTGTATGTGAAACACACTGATAACATTTTTAGTTCTCTCTCTGTTCAGATATTAACGAGTGTGTGGCCGGATCCCACAGCTGCGCTGTGACAGAGAGCTGCTTCAACGTACAGGGAGGGTTCCGATGTCTGTCCTTCGAGTGTCCACCCAACTTCCTCCGGGCAGCAGAGGGGTGAGAACTGGAACTGAACTGAGAACAGTGTTTACTTTCCTTTACTGTCTGGCCTTCTGTGTCTGTGTGAAATTAGTACATTTGGTTTTATACGCTCGTTCTCTGATCAATTATCATTGCTCTTTTATAACTCATCGTTTTCTTAAGAGGTGGCTGTCATCTGTTGAGATACTGTATGGTGGCAATCTTAGGTGACAATTTTGTCTGACCAGAATTGTCACTTTTCACTTTGTGACAGTCACACAACTCATATTTTTAATTTAATCATTTCTGACACTCTTTGCCCCTTGTGCCTCGTACCCCTCCCGATTTTCCCTTCTCCTTCCAGCCGTTGCGAACGCGTAGCCTGCGAGTACATACGGGACCCCTTGTGTTTATCCCTTCCCTTAAGAATCTCTTTCTACAACATCACTTTCCCCACCAACATCTCTGTGCCGGCCAAAGTCTTCCGCATGGGGCCCTCCAACTCAGTCCCAGGGGACGACATCCAGCTAGACATCATCGCCGGAGACCAAGGCAGCTTCTTCAGTGCCCATAGACTGGCCCACAGCCGAGTGATCTCACTGCAAAGTATCGTGACGGAACCCCGGGACTTCTTGCTCACAGTGGAGATGAGGCTCATACGTTACGGGACTGTTCATCTTTATATGGCTAAGATTGCAGTGTTTATCACCCACAAGCAGCCCATCCCACCAAGACTACCATTCTAAAGACCATTCTCTAACCCTGCTGTCATAAAATGGCTGATCTCATATTTGACCATCATGATGAAGAATCATCTTATCTATTTAGTAGCATGCCTCAACCTTCTGTGTTCTGGGGAAGTTACATGGTGATATTCAAGTGTTGTGGCAATGGGTGTTGTGATGTGTAATGTTCACTAGGTGGGGATCATAGGCAGTATAAGAATCTAATCTATTCAATCTACCTCATGATTTGCATGGCAGCTTTGCTTTGGATTTTGAGCTTTTGTTGATTTTTATTGTTAGTTTTTTTTGCAATTAAAAGGAATTTGTTACACAGTGATTTCTTTCCCTTTCTAATTTCCCTTCTACCCCCTAACCAGATACTAATACAATATTTATTGCTCTCACTAACAATGGCTGCTGCAGCAATATCCATTCATACTATTCTATCCTGTCCTGTGACGATTATTAATGACGGTTGGTGAATTCATATTTCCTGATGCCCTACCTACCTCTGCCAAACTGCCTTAACAGAGGATCAAGGATGTCCCTCTTTAGTGGAGCAATGAAAAATAAAGCATGCCACTTATTTATGGGTACTTGGTCCCTGGCCAGTGGCGGGAGCTCAATTAGTGGTCTCCTAGCTATACAGCCGAGAAGATGGATGATACTCTTAGTGTTAGTGTTGGGTGGTTATCAATGAGTACTGCTGGTAAATGTACGAAAACACAAGGAGCTGTGATCGACTTGAGCCAGACAACTTTTACTTTCCAGTGATCAGGTTTTCTTTTATAGTTTAGTCTGGATTGTGGGCTACTACTCCCCTTGGATTGGCATCCGTTGAATACAGATGCTGTTTTGAAATGTATGGATGGATATATCCTATTGACAGTCTATGGAATATTTGAGAAATGTGGGATTCCCATTCCGGTCTCTGTTGCTTTTGATGTATTAACTACCAGCTTTGGCTCACTTCTGTTCTGTCTCATTATCTTCCCAACCAGTCACCTTAGTTGACATTTTGTGTCTGAATTGCTGTGGCAGGGCTATAGTTACTGCAGTTACCCTCTGTGGCAATGCCCTCGCATCAGAAACCACACAATCATTTTGTGGCTTTGGCCCACAGACCTGAAGGCAAACTTGGACCCACCTGCAAGCACTGCTAGAGCCTAATTACAAGCCCCCTTCCCCTTTGGAAGCTTGAGTTCCATGTAGAGGCTTCTTTTTTCACCTCAGGAGACGCTCGATGGGTCCAATGACTTGTTTGGCCTCTCTTCTTAAGCATTGATTCATTAATAAACCATAAAAAATATCTATGGATCTATTCAGGCGTTGCCAGAGTTTTGTGTGAAATGCTCTGGATTGTAGAAGTGCTTATCCATTCATCACAATTGAATTGCTGCATTGAATGAGGGAGCCTTGTGAATTTTTATTTTTCTGTAAGTGTTGTTGGCATTTCAACATAGATTTGTATTGTTACTGTATTTCAGTTTACATACAGTGGGGGAAAAAAGTATTTAGTCAGCCACCAATTGTGCAAGTTCTCCCACTTAAAAAGATGAGAGAGGCATGTAATTTTCATCATAGGTACACGTCAACTATGACAGAGAAAATGAGAATTTTCTTTCCAGAAAATCACATTGTAGGATTTTTTATGAATTTATTTGCAAATTATGGTGGAAAATAAGTATTTGGTCAATAACAAAAGTTTCTCAATACTTTGTTATATACCCTTTGCTTCACAGTAGGTATGGTGTTCTTTGGATGCAACTCAGCATTCTTTGTCCTCCAAACACGACGAGTTGAGTTTTTACCAAAAAGTTATATTTTGGTTTCATCTGACCATATGACATTCTCCCAATCCTCTTCTGGATCATCCAAATGCACTCTAGCAAACTTCAGACGGGCCTGGACATGTACTGGCTTAAGCAGGGGGACACGTCTTTCACTGCAGGATTTGAGTCCCTGGCGGCGTAGTGTGTTACTGATGGTAGGCTTTGTTACTTTGGTCCCAGCTCTCTGCAGGTCATTCACTAGGTCCCCCCTGTGGTTCTGGGATTTTTGCTCACCGTTCTTGTGATCATTTTGACCCCACGGGGTGAGATCTTGCGTGGAGCCCCAGATCGAGGGAGATTATCAGTGGTCTTGTATGTCTTCCATTTCCTAATAATTGCTCCCACAGTTGATTTCTTCAAACCAAGCTGCTTACCTATTGCAGATTCAGTCTTCTCAGCCTGGTGCAGGTCTACAATTTTGTTTCTGGTGTCCTTTGACAGCTCCTTGGTCTTGGCCATAGTGGAGTTTGGAGTGTGACTGTTTGAGGTTGTGGACAGGTGTCTTTTATACTGATAACAAGTTCAAACAGGTGCCATTAATACAGGTAACGAGTGGAGGACAGAGGAGCCTCTTAAAGAAGAAGTTACAGGTCTTTGAGAGCTAGAAATCTTGCTTGTTTGTAGTTTACCAAATACTTATTTTCCACCATAATTTGCAAATAAATTCATTAGAAATCCTACAATGTGGGGCGGAGCTAGCATGTTGGAGTGAACGGCTGTGTGTGAGAGGCTCCCGCAACTTTTTAGCGAAATAATCTAACCTAACTTACTTTATTGCACTTGTTACAACAAACTTTTCTTTCTAATACAATATTGTAACTTTCTATGTGAAAATGCCTAGTAATAAGCGACCAAAGGACAATAAATCCACATCAGAGGCCTACTCCCCACCAAACAACGAGACAAACATGGCGGAAGGCACAGGTAACAACGTGACACTTACAGAACTTACCCGGGCTTTGGGAGAACTACGTGTTGCTATAGCGGAGGATCTTAAGGCTACTATTGCTGAACTGGACACTAAAATCGAGAGCACCATTCGAACGGTCGCTTCGCAGGGCCAGAGTATTGTGGACCTTGAGAAAGCTTCTGAATTCAACGCTGGTAGGATTGACGAGTTAGAGAAGCTATGCACGTCATTGCAGGATAATGTGCAGAGGCTTTCTGTGAAAGTGGTCGACCTGGAGGGCAGATCCAGGCGTCATAACCTTCGCGTTGTGGGTCTGGCAGAAAGGGTGGAGGCGGGCTCTCGCCCCACCGACTTCTTCGCCAAGCTACTGAAGGATGCAATGGGACCGGATGTTTTGGCGTCGGATCCCCTACTGGACCGTGCACATCGCGCCCTTGTCCCAGTGCCTGGACCGGTCCAGCGTCCTCGCCCAGTAATCTGTTGTCACAGTTTCAAGACCAAGGATCTTATCCTGCGCGAGGCTCAAATGAGGGGCAACCTGTTACATAAAGGGCACCCCTTTCGTATCTATGAGGACTATGCGCCCGATGTGGCAAAGCACCGCGCTGGCTACAGAGATGTCATGACCAAACTCTACAAACTCCATCTTCGCCCAGCCTTGCTCTTCCCTGCAAGACTAAGAATTACCGCGCCTTCCGGGGAGAAGATTTGGCTCTCCTCGGTTTTGGACGCAGAGAAGTTTATCCGGGAATATACACCAATTCCCCGTACAGGTTAGAGTGCCTTGTCATTGTGTGTTAAGGTCTGCTCATGGACTCGAATCCATACCATACCATAACGGGTGAAACCGTGTTAAACGGTCTCAGCAAGGGCTACCGAACATGTAATACGATGAGCTGACCAATGGAGGGTGGTCAGAGCTCTCACTTAACGTTAATTTCACTTTCATTCCGACTGGGTTTAGAGCGATGCCTGTTTGGGAGGCCTTCCAGGTCGGATCATTGACACTTTCGGATGCATATACTTATATTCCCCCATTTTTGTTTTGTTTCGTTATTTATTTTTCAATTCTTACATTATTCCTGTGCGTACATATAATAATTATTATTTGTACTTTATTATTATTTTCTCTTAGCATTTTAGTATTATGTATGTGTATATTTTAAATTTGTATAGATTTTTATTCTGGGGTATGCCTGTTTTTGTATGTAGATTTGTGTGTATGGATGTATGTGTGTATGCGTGTGTATGTATCTGTATATACACTGCTCAAAAAAATTAAGGGAACACTTAAACAACACAATGTAACTCCAAGTCAATCACACTTCTGTGAAATCAAACTGTCCACTTAGGAAGCAACACTGATTGACAATACATTTCACATGCTGTTGTGCAAATGGAATAGACAACAGGTGGAAATTATAGGCAATTAGCAAGACACCCCCAATAGACTGGTTTTGCAGTTGGTGACCACAGACCACTTCTCAGTTCCTATGCTTCCTGGCTAATGTTTTGGTCACTTTTGAATGCTGGCGGTGCTTTCACTCTAGTGGTAGCATGAGATGGAGTCTACAACACACACAAGTGGCTCAGGTAGTGCAGCTCATCCAGGATAGCACATCAATGTAAGCTGTGGCAAGAAGGTTTGCTGTGTCTGTCAGCGTAGTGTCCAGAGCATGGAGGCGCTACCAGGAGACAGGCCAATACATCAGGAGACGTGGAGGAGGCCGTAGGAGGGCAACAACCCAGCAGCAGGACTGCTACCTCCGCCTTTGTGCAAGGAGGAGCAGGAGGAGCACTGCCAGAGCCCTGCAAAATGACCACCAGCAGGCCACAAATGCGCATGTGTCTGCTCAAATGGTCAGAAACAGACTCCATGAGGGTGGTATGAGGGCCCGACTTCCACAGGTGGGCGTTGTGCTTACAGCCCAACACCGTGCAGGACGTTTGGCATAAGCCAGAGAACACCAAGATTGGCAAATTCGCCACTGGCACCCTGTGCTCTTCACAGATGAAAGCAGGTTCACACTGAGCACGTGACAGACGTGACAGAGTCTGGAGACGCCGTGGAGAACGTTCTGCTGCCTGCAACATCCTCCAGCATGACCGGTTTGGCGGTGGGTCAGTCATGGTGTGGGGTGGCATTTCTTTGGGGGGCCGCTCAGCCCTCCATGTGATCGCCAGAGGTAGCCTGACTGCCATTAGGTACCGAGATGAGATCCTCAGACCCCTTGTGAGACCATATGCTGGTGCGGTTGGCCCTGGGTTCCTCCTAATGCAAGACAATGCTAGACCTCATGTGGCTGGAGTGTGTCAGCAGTTCCTGCAAGAGGAAGGCATTGATGCTATGGACTGGCCTGCCCGTTCCCCAGACCTGAATCCAATTGAGCACATCTGGGACATCATGTCTCGCTCCATCCACCAACGCCACGTTGCACCACAGACTGTCCAGGAGTTGGCGGATGCTTTAGTCCAGGTCTGGGAGGAGACCATCCGCCACCTCATCAGGAGCATGCCCAGGCGTTGTAGGGAGGTCAAAAAGGCACGTGGAGGCCACACACACTACTGAGCCTAATTTTGACTTGTTTTAAGGACATTACATCAAAGTTGGATCAGCCTATAGTGTGGTTTTCCACTTTAATTTTGAGGGTGACTCCAAATCCAGACCTCCATGGGTTGATAAATTTGATTTCCATTGATAATTTTTGTGTGATTTTGTTGTCAGCACATTCAACTATGTAAAGAAAAAAGTATTTAATAAGATTATTTCATTCATTCAGATTTCAACACTAGGATGTGTTATTTTAGTGTTCCCTTAATTTTTTTGAGCAGTGTATTTAAGAATATTTATTTTATATGTATATATTTTTTGGGGGGGTTTGTGTGTGTGTGTATGTATGTGTGTGTGTATACGTGTGTATATGTGTGTGTGTGTTTGTGTGCGTATATATATACGTATGTGTGTGTGTATGTATGTATGTAGGTATGCACATGTGTGTGTGTGTGTGTGTGTGTGTGGATGTGTATATGTGTATGTGTGCACATATGTATACAGTGGGAAAAAAAGTATTTAGTCAACCACCAATTGTGCAAGTTCTCCCACTTAAAAAGATGAGAGAGGCCTGTAATTTTCATCATAGGTACACGTCAACTATGACAGACAAAATTAGAAAAAAAAATCCAGAAAATCACATTGTAGGATTTTTTATGAATTTATTTGCAAATTATGGTGGAAAATAAGTATTTGGTCAATGACAAAAGTTTCTCAATACTTTGTTATATACCCTTTGTTGGCAATGACACAGGTCAAACGTTTTCTGTAAGTCTTCACAAGGTTTTCACACACTGTTGCTGGTATTTTGGCCCATTCCTCCATGCAGATCTCCTCTAGAGCAGTGATGTTTTGGGGCTGTCGCTGGGCAAAACAGACTTTCAACTCCCTCCAAAGATTTTCTATGGGGTTGAGATCTGGAGACTGGCTAGGCCACTCCAGGACCTTGAAATGCTTCTTACGAAGCCACTCCTTCGTTGCCCGGGCGGTGTGTTTGGGATCATTGTCATGCTGAAAGACCCAGCCACGTTTCATCTTCAATGCCCTTGCTGATGGAAGGAGGTTTTCACTCAAAATCTCACGATACATGGCCCCATTCATTCTTTCCTTTACACGGATCAGTCGTCCTGGTCCCTTTGCAGAAAAACAGCCCCAAAGCATGATGTTTCCACCCCCATGCTTCACAGTAGGTATGGTGTTCTTTGGATGCAACTCAGCATTCTTTGTCCTCCAAACACGACGAGTTGAGTTTTTACCAAAAAGTTCTATTTTGGTTTCATCTGACCATATGATATTCTCCCAATCGTCTTCTGGATCATCCAAATGCACTCTAGCAAACTTCAGACGGGCCTGGACATGTACTGGCTTAAGCAGGGGGACACGTCTGGCACTGCAGTATTTGAGTCCCTGGCGGCGTAGTGTGTGTTACTGATGGTAGGCTTTGTTACTTTGGTCCCAGCTCTCTGCAGGTCATTCACTAGGTCCCCCCGTGTGGTTCTGGGATTTTTGCTCACCGTTCTTGTGATCATTTTGACCCCACGGGGTGAGATCTTGCGTGGAGCCCCAGATCGAGGGAGATTATCAGTGGTCTTGTATGTCTTCCATTTCCTAATAATTGCTCCCACAGTTGATTTCTTCAAACCAAGCTGCTTACCTATTGCAGATTCAGTCTTCCCAGCCTGGTGCAGGTCTACTATTTTGTTTCTGGTGTCCTTTGACAGCTCCTTGGTCTTGGCCATAGTGGAGTTTGGAGTGTGACTGTTTGAGGTTGTGGACAGGTGTCTTTTATACTGATAACAAGTTCAAACAGGTGCCATTAATACAGGTAACGAGTGGAGGACAGAGGAGCCTCTTAAAGAAGAAGTTACAGGTCTGTGAGAGCCAGAAATCTTGCTTGTTTGTAGGTGACCAAATACTTATTTTCCACCATAATTTGCAAATAAATTCATTAAAAATCCTACAATGTGATTTTCTGGATTTTTTCTCCTCAATTTGTCTGTCATAGTTGACGTGTACCTATGATGAAAATTACAGGCCTCTCTCATCTTTTTAAGTGGGAGAACTTGCACAATTGGTGGCTGACTAAATACTTTTTTTCCCCACTGTATATACATCACAATTTTATTAAATTATTTGAAAATAATGTATTATTATTATTATAAAAAAATAAAAATAAATTAAACATTTTTTTATTTACTTTGTTATTTTTTTGATTGGGGGGTACGTTCAATTGATCAAAATCCTTGTTCCCTTCTCCTAACCCACAATATGTAACTGTACTGCTGTCTATGTCGGTTACTGATGGTTTATGTTTAGACCGGTATTGCTTAGCAATAGAATCTTGTGATGATACATCTTGCTTATCTCAGGGATTGACCCAAGATGAACCTTAAAAGTGCGCAATATGTTTAAGTTGCAACTTATTCTGTTTAGGTTTAATAGATGCTAATTGAACACTTTAAGTGCGGGAGCCTCCTCAGTTCATATGTTAGTAGAAGTTCTAGGATAGTGAGAGGTGAGCGTATAGTTGGGATTTTATTTTTGTTTTACCTCTTGTTCGAGGTCGTGCCGTGCTTTTTTGGCATCGGCCAGACAATGTGTTTGTTATTTTTATTTTCATATTTTTTTCTGTCCTATGTGTGTATGCCTGTTAAATGTGGGTTGATGGGGGGGGGGTAAAGGTTGGGGAAAGTAGGGGAACAGGGTGTGTCACGGTTTCGGCCGAGGCTGCTCCTCCTCCTTGTTCGGGCAGGTTTCGGCGGTCGTCGTCCCCGGAGTACTAGCTGCCACCGATCTATGTTTCATGTTCGTTTGGTTTTGTCTTGATGTTGTACACCTGTGTCTAGTTTGTCCTCATTAGTGTCCTATTTAGTTCTCGTTGTGTGTGTATGGTGTTGTGTGTGATTGCTCCTCTGTTTGGTGTTCTGAGCTACGTATCTTCCCTCCGTTGTTTGGAGAGGTTTTCGCACATGTTAGTGCGCCTTTTGTTTGACGCCTGTGTGCGCCTTTATTTCGCCTCCGGGCTTATTGTTCTCGTGTACTACGTGAATAACTCACTAAAGTATTTTGGACTTAGCTTCTGTGTCCTGCGCTTGATTCCTGCACCACACCCACCTTCAGCACCCCTGACAGAATCACACACCCTAATGAATGGAATCAGCAGGAGCAACAGTCACGCCTGAGTCGCTGGAGGAGCATGTCCGCGGCCAGGATGACCAGATACGACAACTGGGGACCGCTCTACAGGACGTCATCAACACCCTGCATCGATGGGAGTCCAGAGGGGTACCTACACCTCCACCTACCCTGCCACCCCCATCGGCCGGTCCACCAGTCCCAGGTCCGGAACCTAGTGGGATTGGCTCTCGCCGGGGAGTACGACAGCTGGGATTTCG